ACCGTAGGGCATGGTGACATGTCAAGTGGGACTCGAATGCCATGAAGCTTTTATCCAGACTTTAGTACCCGCTCCTTTTATTCTTCGGTTAACTTTATGGATTATCTAGCATGATCTAGCATTCTATCGTGAAGAATGGCCCCAGCTGGTCCCGTTCACTGCAGCAGCTTGGGATCCAGCAAAGGAGCCACAACCCCATGCTGCAAACCTTCCCTCACCCTGCACTGCGCGCCCCGACAATGACGTAGCATTCCTTCGCCTCTGCCGTCAGATTACCGACTGGTCGCCTACCTGTATCGAGTTAAACCGCAGACCACGCCAGACCTGCCGATTCGAGTTGGATCGCTCGCAAGAAAAGGTGTCACGAGTGTCGATTTCGGCAGCCCTTCCGCTGGCGTACCTCCCCAAAGAGGCAATTGATCGACACGGACGCCCACAACCGTCCGGGACACCTCCGTCCGGGGCGGGGTCGTCAATCAATCTGAACCGTGAGGGAACCCCACGCATGGCACCGGCAGATGTGATTCCGGAGCCACCCAGGATCGCTCATCCAAGGCTACACCATGGAACACCGCAGTGTTCGTGTTCTGCCTGGAAACAACTCAACGGGGACAGTCACATGGGGGAAAGCATTTCAAAAACGTCACGAGCAAGTTGAAGGCCAAAATCGTGTCTTGTTTTGCTGCCGTCTGGCGCGAGAGGAATTCACACATTGGACTGAACATGTTCTACCAGTCCTGTTTTACTCAAAACGCCATTCAGAATCCATCCAAAAGGATCCAAGTCAACCCCCGATTACTCCCCGGACCAAAATATCGCCAACCCGGGCGCCTTAGGCTGCCATGTGAACCGGAACACTCCTGCATGCCGCGTAAAAGCTGAGTCGCATGCGCGCACTCACTTCAATATGTACAACGAATGATTTGGGAATGCCGACAAGTCGACATTGTGGCATTTGGAGCGCGTGGTTTCAGATCCACATTTCCGCTGCCGCCGGCCTGGCGTGCGACTGCGGCTGCGCGTAGCTTTCCTGGAAGAAGGCATGGAAGAGGCTCTGCACTTCACCCATGTAGTCCTCGGCGCTGTGCTTGTAAAGACCCTGCGCCTTTAGCGCCTGCTCCTCTTTCGTCGAGAATGGAGTGCTTGATGCCGTAGTCCTCAGCAATCTCAGAAACTTGAGCCAGCTCACGACCAAAAGGATGCGATTCCATGATGCAGGCTTCTGTTGCTGTTGGTACGCGACAGGAGGAATAGAAGGAACTGGCGGCTTGATGCTGGGCGTCATGGAGTTGTGAGACATGGTCGATGCGGCGGTCGAGGCGGACGATGTCCTTGAGTAGCTAAAGCTGGCTTTGGTAGAGAGAGTGTGATCCGAGTCCCGTGACATGGCTGAGATTGATCGTTGACGGGCGATAGCGTCGTAAGACGCCTTCTTGGTGTGAGAAGGGGATCGCTTGGGGATAGCAGGCACAGGAGGAACCTCGGGCACAACGTAATCCTTTGCTGATACCGGTGCGACAAAGTAGCAGGAGAGATGATTCGGTTGCAAAGACTTGGACTGCTCATCGCGGTCGACATCAGGGCTGGTGGGAGGCGTGGAAGCGACAGTACTCGGGCTGTCTGGCTCTTCGTCTGAAGACTTGGCGGATTTGGCAGACTTGGTCGAGTTGCTGCTCGAGGTGTTCCGAGAGATATCTGGCGCATTGTACGATAGCATGTTGGTGGTGTGAATCAACTCGACGGGTGCTGAAATTTGGTGCCGGACTGAAACATGAGGAGTCTTGGTGGTCTTGCTTCGTTGGGGGCCATTCTCCTTGTTGGCCTTATTGGCCGCGGCGGCAACGTCGATGCTCTGCTTCACCCTGCGGGTGGTGAAGGCCCTAGATAGCGACGACATGGCGAAGGTGTTTTGTTGGTGAGTATCCGACATGTGGCTCTTGAGAACAACAGCTGGCCAGGAATGAGCCTTTGGGGGAGAGGACCCTAGTAATGGGTAACCGAGAGCTCGGCTGGGTGGAGGGTCTGGGTCCGAATAGAACGTAGCGTCGGTGCCCGTTGCTCAGAATTGATACCGCCGAAAGGGTTGTGATGGTGGTGCGAGGGCTGCAGGCGTGATTGGGCCGAAGTCCAGAAGTGGCAGTTTCGGTGGGGAAGCTGCGTGTGCGCGTGCTGCAATACCCGCGAAGCAGGTGAAGGCGTGGATGTGGGCGGGTGGTGGCGGGGCACGAGCTGTCAATCGCCGAAGAATGTTGGGTTTCTGCTGACAGCGAGAGCTATGACGAATAGAAGTGAAGAAATCTTCTGCAGGCTCAGTTTTCCGGGTGGGAAAAGTTGCGTGTGCAGGAAGTTCGTGGTGAGAATCGGGGTTCCGTTTTCTCGACCGAGTTGGTGAAGGAAAGAAGAGGCGATAGATGCTCGGGTCTAGCCGACTGGTGAGTTGGTGGAAGGAGAGTGATTGGTACGGTCGAGAGCTTGGCCAACGCTGGTGTTGCTGGTGTGAGACTTATTTTTTTTTGAGTCTCTGAGTCTGGGTGAGTCCCGTATGTGTTGTGTTTGTGTCGCGTTGTGGGAAATGAACGTTCAACGTGAGATGAGTTGGGCCGTGTTCGACACGAAAGTGGTGATCCTCGCAGTCGTCTAGACTGACTGGTGGTTTCTATAAAGGAAGGAAGATGGTAAAATCGTCACGCAACAAGGGAATGGAGAGCGTGGAAAAGTATGTTGAGAAGTGAAGAGAGGATTCAGGCTGGACGTACTCAAGATCTGGCGTCGAGCTGCCTTTGGTTCGCAAGGTGAACTTGGATGAGGGAAAGAGAAAAGCCTATCGAGCGGCAGGGGAGGGAAGTGCCAATTATTTGGGGGGGCACAAGCTCTGTAGGCGGGGGACGTGTTGTGTTCTGCAGGGCGACCGGAGGATTGGGGACTGTTTGGCTCTTGCGCTCTTTGCTCCTCTTTCTTGTTCCTTGCCCTGGCGCTCTGTCGCTCTTTGATTGCCTTTTGGACCAGGAGCGTCCCGCGCTTCCCCTGTCCCTGCCCACCACGATTTCGCCCCATTGGTCGAGACCACGAGAGACCCCCGGTTCGTCCGGACCCTGGTAGCGCCTAACGAGCTCGTGGGAGGAGCGGAGCAGTGATCAGCAGTCGTTGGGCCAATGATATGGGGGGCTCATGGGGCTCGACCCCTGCCGATGGTCCTTTGTTCTTTCCTTGCGCTGTCGGCTGCTACTGCTCGCCTTCAAATCCCTTCTTACCTCGAAGCGTCGCCATTGCATTGCCGCATATCCACGGACCTGGATCGCGCCAGTCTGCGGCTACGACGAGAACCACCCGTGTTGCAGAAACAAAGCAGTCAGGGTCAAAGACATGATGACATCCTTGACGACCGACCAACCGACTGAACTTACAGAGAATGTCACCCTCCTCCAACCCACCGTGGGGGAATCTGACTCGCATGGAGATGGCCCGGTCTACGGGCACGTGGAGCTCGTTGAATCGACGGACTGCTCAACAGGCAGTACATGGTACTCGAGGCAATTATTCCAGGGCATTCATCCATCAGACGCACTTTTTACAGTGGGCTTTCCAGACCGATCACCCGCCGGATCAGGACGCGCAGAGTTCAGCAGACTCTGGGTGTACCACTCGTCCTTCGGCGCTTCCCAATCCTGCATCGGGGGCTCGGCGGGTACTCTCCTTGAGTCTTGCCGAATGGCAAGCTTTGACGCTGCACACGCTCGGCACACAGAACACAGAAGCTGCGCGCAGGGGCCAGCCCAAGAGAACGAGGCGTG